GCGCACAGGTACTTTGACATGACCGTAACTTGGCACAACACTTATTATAACAAAAATAGTTGACGTAGCGAAACCAGGTAGACGTTTCGTTTGGGCGGCGTGACTAAGATGGGAAATGGCTTTGACCGTCAAAGGCTGCCAGATAATACGACTCATCGTGGGAGGTGTACATTTTACAGGTAGGAAGGGACCAGTGGACGGTGCTTCCAGTTCGAACCACTTTGCGATAGGTGGCTCTAAAGCCGAGAAAAAAAAATTGTTGTCTACAGAACTTGGGGTGTCAGCGTTTCCACATCCAAAAGGAGGGTGATCAAGAAAGAAAGCACACCACATAAACTTCCGTAATCAAACGTTGATTCTCCAGTGATTCCGAGTCTCATTGTTGTTTTCTTTAGATTTATATTTGTCACTTTTTTTACCGTTTGAATCTCTCTTCATGAAGTACAGATTGCGTGCCACTTGTCCGGAAATATCATCGACACGTACGATGGGGACGAAACTTTTTTTAAGGGCATTCCTCTAACGAAATTGGCACCGCATACCCGCGAGTGTGGGGATGGCATTTCAGTTCGTCCCATCGGCGCTGACACATGTAGGCGTTACTGGTACGAAAACAAACGCAGAGCGCAAAGCGGGAGTTTAGAATATGTCCGCCGTGCCGACACAGTGGCAGACATGATCGGGAGACCAAATTTCTCGCGTCGTACGGCACGGGTTCATCGTTGTCGCTGTATACACAACATCGGCGAGGTGAAAAACTGTGAAACTTTGTCCCCCTGATATACGACGCATAAGTATTGAAGCACTTAATGACGCAGCACAGGCAGCACTTCATGCTGTGAACCCAGCGCAATTCCGCACCGCTCCGACTTCAATGCGTACCAACGTACGCGGCGTGGTTTCGGTTTCGTTTTCTCTGGGGCTCTCGCTGCCTACCTTCGGTGCCGGCCGCGCGGCGGCGCGCCAGTCGCGTCGCACGGAGTGTATAGCAGATTTGTTTTAAAAAAGCCGTGAAAGCTACACTAATGCGGTTTGTGCAGGTTAGTTATACGGCCAGGGGGACATTGTACAGGTGGCTAATGGTAACGATCAGTCGGCTAATTAATTAAGATTTGCTAATTAACTTTTAAATTAGTGAAAATAAACATATGGTCCAACTAGACACTTGCTGAGCATCATCGAAAACCACTGAATCAACTCAATTTAGAAAGATATAAATCACGAGCAGCATTTTACGGTGTTCTAAAAAAGCGCGTCGTTGCGCCCGCGGTCCTGCTCCCCGGTGGTCGCGGCGCGAAGCCACCCCCTCGCCTCCATCGTAGAATGAAGAGAAGCGTAGAGTTAGTATAATGCACGCTAGAGGTTCTAGTGGCGCTCGTGTGCTGACGGAAATGGAAGCAGACAGCAAACATTCGAAAACCCAGTTCCGATAATGCATTTCTATGAAAAAATGGGAGTGCATTTTCACCCTGCGCTCGATCATAAGAGCAAATATCCCGAAGAATTCGTACGTACTAGGTAGTTTGGAACATTTCTCAGTCAGGCCGACGGAATAATTGGTCAGTTACGGCGTTTTTTTTGTTTGTTTTTTTTTCAAATTCATCGTATTAAAAACGGTGCGAAAACGGCTTCGTACGTGTATTTATGTGCACTGATGGACACTGTTAGCGCGAACACGACGTCGGCGCTTTTCAGCATGAGGGATATACGTGCCAAACTAACGAAGGACATTTGGAAATTAAGGGAGACGGCAAGAACTACGCAGTAACACTGGATCAGTAACTACCCTTGCATGTACGATCAAAATTAATTGAAGATCACTTAATATATTCCGATTTTAAATGAGTAAGTATCGCTTTATTCGTTCTGCTCTGCCTTTCGAAGATGCTTGTTCTACGTTTAAAACATCACCCGCACGCTAGAAATATTTGAGAACAAGTGTCGGATAAAAGCTGCCCGGCAGAGAAAACAACACGTAGAGACAACTTTCATAGCCCACGTACTTTATTTATTGTTTACGTTTTAAATGTTTTTCTTCGCTCATGCATGACAGGTTCACACGACTGGCATATTAGCAATATATAAGCGTCACCGGAATGCTGTGGAGCCTTGAACACACACTATATTTCTTTCGATTGTTATTTTGCTTTGAATCGTCGCTTGTTTTTACACACCTGCTGCGGAACACATGTTTGGGGCTGAAATGAAGCGAAGTTAAATATCGGTCACTGATGAAGAAAACTACGGTAACTAAAGCAATTAAACTTTTACAGTGTTAATCAAGGTACATCGTATTCGGTACGACCGAAAGAGTCAATGTGTCCCATGTTATTTCCCGGCGAAGAGACAAAATGCACGCGCGTTTTCCCATAGAAATGCACACGGAGCACCGCAAAAGTAGACTGGTTGCTGTCTGCTTCAATTTGCGTCACGGAAGTCGCATAGACACTAGTGCCAGTTCAACCTCGAGCGTGTATTGTAATAACTCTACACGAGAGAAGTATGGCGCACGTGTAATGCGCGTCTCAGCCACTGGGGAGCAGGACCGCGGGCGCAGAGATGCGCTCCGATAAGAAACTGAAACCCAGAAGGTGCCTCCAAATAGGGCGCTTTTTTAGGACGCCGTAAAATGCTGCCCCTGATTTATATCCTTCTAAACAGAGTTGATTTAGTGGTTCTCGATGATGCTCGGCAAGTGTCTAATTAGAAACATGTCTATTTTCACTAATAGAAAAGCTAATTTCTCGTTTTAATTAATCAGTGAACTAATTAGTAAGAATCACGCCTTTGCTGACGTCCTCCACAAGTAACGCGGTCCCGAGAAAATTATCTTTTTACCTCGAATACACTACTTTTAGGAATTTAATTTACAGACAACTGTCTGCAGTGTAAACGGTGTTGCGTAAACTTCAGTCGTGCGTGATTTTATTATATTTACTTATTTTTTATTTTTAGGATGTGAAGACTAAGGTAGCGTTGCTCGAAATTCGGCGTAATAATTTTCAAGTTCATATTTTTTTAAATGTATAATCGACCCGACGTAGAAATGGTGGTGCGAAGTGTTTTTTTTTTATGACAAAAAAAAAGTTTTTATGCATTTGTTTTGCGGGTTTTTTTTTTACGTTTTTCATAGCGACTGTTAGGCAAAGCAAGACCGGGCGTCGCTTATTATGGTTTCACTTTTGCTTCGCGTGTGTATGCATTGCAGATTTCTTGCTTATACCTTATTTATACCAGCTAATGCTGCAAACAATCTCATTTGCTACGGTGCGTTTCTAAACCTCAATTACAACAGCGTGTGGTAGCGAGACTTTTTAAACTGAGGGCTCCGCGGCAGTTAGAAGAAATCCGCATAAAAATTACTGGGATCAAAAACGCAAGCTACAAAGAAAAGAAAAAAAAAAAAAAAAAAAAAGAAACGATCCTGAAAGTTTGACTTTTTTTGTTGTTTCGTTGTTGGTGTTCGTCTGCGCGACTTTGTGCAGTGCAGGCATCCGCGCCTTCCGCGTCGTCGGCAGCCTGCGCGAAGACCGGGGTTGAGGTGGTGTGGAAAGGGGGAAATGTGGAGCTTGTTTTTGGCTCGGTGGTGAAGCTTTGGTCTTTGCCGCTGATGACGCACGAGGAGGAAGGCGAAGGGAGGCGAGACATTGGGCGAGATCGCAAGAGGAGAAGAGGCGGCCTGGCGCCAGGCTGCTGCCTCCCTGCGCTCGTGCAAGGAACGAGCGACCCGAGCACGCAATCGCGGCGGCGGCAGCGCGAGCGTGCGCGCGTGCTGATCATCGCAGAAAGGCAGCCAGCAAAGCCCGAGCGAGAGCACACAAAAAAAAAAAAAAAAAAAAAAAAAAGAGAAGAAAATTAAAAATAAAAGCACGTGCGTAAGCTTTCGAAAGGGAAGGAAATAAATAAAAAGGACGAAACTGCACGTAAAAGAAATGCTCACCGATTGCAACACGCACGCACGTACTGGTGGCGAGCAAAAAGAGAAAACGAAAACAGAACTGGACCGCTTCCATTTGTGCCTTTTTTTTTCTCTCTCTCTCTCTCTCTTCGGTTGGTTGGAGAGGGAAGTGAGGAGGTCGTGCTCACAAAGAAGAGACCGAACGTTGTAGAGAAAAGAGGGTTTCCCAAGTTTTCGCTTTACTTTCCTTTCTCTGTTTATATTTAGAGCTCTCTTTCTGTGCTTTTTTAATCGGACCCTTCAGGGTTTTTTTGTTTTTCTTTTTGTTGTGCAGCCTTCAATCGTTCGTTCGTTCGTCCGTCGTCGTCGACGTCGTCGTCGACGTCGTCGTCTTGGCTGTCTGCGTGCTCTCGCGCGTGCGGATTTCTTTTCTTTTTCCTTTCTAGCTTCGTGCGGGTTTTTCTTTCTTTTTTTCTTCCCTATTGCGTTTCGGAGACGCTACCGCTGCTGACGATGACGATGATCGCCCTTCGTGGACGCGTCCAAGGGCAGTCGGTGTGCTGCCGTTGCGGAGGATTGGGACCGAGGGTAGAGAGAAAGATTTCGAGGCGCACGATAAAGGAGCGAGGAGGTCGGTGGGGGAGAGAACGCACGTGAGGTACGGGGGAGGATAGAATTGTTCTACGTTTCTCTTTCCCTCCCTACTTTCCTCCTTCCTTCCTTCTGCAACGTTTCGCGCTTTGTTTGGATATTTTCTTTTTGCTCGCGGCTCGTCCGTTCTTGCACGTTCTCAGTGCTTTTATTAGTGTGCGCACGCTTTTTTCTTTTCAGCTTAGCGTTTTTAACGTTAGCCTTACAGCGGAGAGGAGGAAAGAACGAGAGCGAAAGACAGAGAGAGAAAAAAACGCTCGCGTTAGGATTTTGCTTTTTTGCGTTTTACATTGTTTCTTTCTGAGCAACTTCTTTCGGATTTTCGTTCGAAGCGCGGTGTTCGCGTTCGCCGGTGCGCGCCTTTCTTTCTTTTTTTTTTTCTCTCACTTTCGTTGTATTCCTTTTTGTCGTATTTATGTTTTTTTTACTTTTCGTTTTTTTCTTTTCTGTTATTTGGAAGTGAGCCTGAGCTCGCTCGCTTTTGCGCGCGCAGTCGCGCAGTGCGCTCGGTCGGTGTTTCCTTTTTTTCTTTTTCTGGCTCTTTCGTTTCTGCCGCTTCTGCACGCGGTACGTGGTAGTTAGTACGTGGCAAGCACACACAACGCAGCGGCAGCAGCCGCGTCGAGGCTTTGCAGTGGCAGCGGCGCAGCGCCGGCACGCTGGAGTCGACCGGTGGTTCGTTCGGTGCGTCGTCAGCGGCCCGCTCCTTTCCAAGCAGACGAATTTTCGGTCCTGGCCGCTTCGCAAGCGCGTCGACCGACGCTATTTCGATCTTTTCGTCCGGGGCCCAACCAAGTGATTCGTGTATGTTGTTGACAACGCGAGTCTACGTTCAGTGCGCCTTGCGAATCGACGCCGATGAGGTAAGGCACTCGTACGATTTTATTTCTTTACGACACGCTTAGATGAACGAACCCGCGTGCTGCATTTAAAATTCCAACATGTGAGCCGTGAAGAGAGAGCGGAGCAGACGATTTCTTGCCGTCGTCTGCAGAGCACGGGGGGAGCGAGAGTACGCGATCGTAGCGACTTGCCGCGTCTGAATGGGAAACTAGGTGAAGGAATACTCAAGTAGGGGGCACCAAGCGGCGTGGCGAGCGTTTTTGCATATAAAACGCCTCTATAAGTAGAATAAAATAAGCATTTATAAAAGAAGGGAAAAAATACGCGGCTCTTTTGAATGACGATAGCCAGTAAAGTAAGCCACGGAGTTCCCCCCTTCCTCTTTTTTTTTATCTTGTACTTGTCTTTATCTTTAATGGACGTGTCTCGTCTTTTTACGGTCTCTTTTGAGCGGCGGGTTATTTTCTTTTTATCTTTTTGGTTTTTGCGTCGTTTCGGGTTATGAATTTTGAGGGTCGGGGTTGTAAATCGCTTCAGTGGTTGTATGGTGTCGATGTTTTAGATGCTCGGCTGGATTGCCTGTAAATCACAAATGCCTTCGCTTTGGCGTGGTTCGGTGCAGAAATTGTTTGATTGTTTCGCGCGCTTTGTTGTGTTCGTGTATTTTGTTTGTGTTTTTTGTTTTTTCGCTTGTTCGGTTTTGCATTGCGTTTCCAATTGTTGACACTCAGTTTTCAGGATCTTGAATTGCTTCTATTCATTTCGGTTCGCTGGTAAAACGGCGTTTTAACAACGTTTTTACAACTATTTTTTATTGTTAAATTTTTTTTTTCAGCTTTCTTTAGAAAGTTTTAGTAGATCGTTCCGATATCTCCGATAGCCCCGATAACGATACTCATGCGCAAGGGAGGCAGGCGGTGGCGGACTATCGGGTATCGTTATCGGAGTCATGGGAACGATCTCGTTAAGACTCTTTTATGATCTGTTATTTTACGGGAATCTCGTGCGTCATTGTGCGTGCGCTTTGCCTCTTGTTAAATGGCAGAGATGGCAAATGCCGATCCAGAACTTCTTTTATTTCATTCTCGTGGATTGATTTAATTTTACCATTACGAACGTAAAATGAACACTAAAACTAAAACGCTGCAGGCGCCTGGTTTTGTTTAGAAGCGTCTTATAGGTTTTATATTATGCCCAGCAAGTTTCTAATTGAAACTATATTTTTATTAATTAAGAAAAAGATTAATTAGTAAAAAGTAAATAAACACCTAACTTCATCAACCTCTTTCGGCGCGATGGGTAGTTTTTGGGGGAAAAGTTTGGGCCGCGTTCCACGAGACGCCCCGTATATTTTAGCCGCGTATCGCAGAGAGCCGCTCGAGGAGTGCCTTCCTCGCGGCTGGTACGGCGGTCGCTCCCTCGCATCGCGCATGCGCGCCGCAATGTTTTGCAAAGCTGCACCACGCAACGCACTGACAAAAAAAAAAAAAAAAGGCATTTGCGCTTTTTTTGGTTTTTTATCATTTTGATTTTTTGAGTTGTGTCGAACTTCAGTTTTTTTTTTTTTTTTTTTTTTTTTTTCCGCTACGCAAGTTGATGCCTTGCATTAGCGCGATCCGGTTCGCAGCTATCTTTTTTTTATTTTTACGTTTTAGTGTTGGGAGGAATACGGGAAAACTAGAAAACGTTCGTGTATCCAGGCGCATTTATTATATTCCTTTCGAAGTAATGATGTAACGGAAATTCGTGCAGCGGAGTAGATTTACGACAAGGTAAACGGTTGGTTCGTTTGAAACGGAATGCAACAGACTCATCCATGCTCGAAGGAGAATACTGAGAACGTAAACGCAGGCGGTGCGCGCGCTTGTTTTAGCTCTACAAACGATTCGAAATAAGCACCTAAATATGTGGACGCAAGTGCCGAAGTGCCGTTGGTTTTCGACTCTTGCTTGCGAAAAGTTGCGCCAGCACGAGCAGCGCGTGTAACTTGCACTCGTAGCATACCCCTCGGTGCTTGGGTACTGCTAAATTACGCGAGCATCGAGGAGAATGCTGGGAATGTGGGCCTACTCGCCGCTCGCCTAGGCTTCCCCGTATAAAAGATTCGAAGCAAATAACCAAAACAATGTTGTTGACCACCGCGCGTTCAAGATGGCATTTGTTTTAGGCTTTTTGGTTTAGATCAGTTACTGCTGCTGACGCCCGCAGCATGCTCCTCGGTGCTCGGGGGGTAATTTAGCAAAAGGTCTATCCGCAAAGTCTATACTCGCATCCTCTGCTGAAGAAATATCCGCCTGGCCTGGGCATCGATGCACTGACGACTGCCCTCTGGGCGCTGGCACCTTTTCTGGGCTGTAGAACGCTTTCTGGACATGGGCAATAGAACTCTCGTGAGGGGTAGTATCACAGGCGCCACGAATCCGTGCGCGCAGTTCTGGGCACTTTTGTTTCACCTGGGCAATAAGCGCTTGAAAAGCTCGTAGCCAGCGGAGTACTGTGAACCAAGTGTTGTCTTCCACAGGTTACTCGAAAAAAAGTAGTCGATTACAATGCCTTTCGGTTAAAAAGCCGTTGTACAGGGTGTCCCCGATGAAAATGTACAAGTTTTTTTTTTTTTTTTTCACCGCAAAGATAAACGCTCGAGCTGCCAAAGTTTCTGCGCGAACCGATATTTTTTTCAAAAGCTATAAAGGATCTTCTGAAAATGTAAATGGGAAAATGGTGGCCTACAGAGCTTTCGAATGCATGGTGCTCTATGGCCCCAGAATCCGAAAATGAAGCCCATTTTCCCCAATGAAATTTTCAGGAAATCAATTCCAACTTTTGAATAAAATATCGGTTCATGTCGAAACTTTGACATCGGGTTCGGACATCTAGTGCGCTACCTCCAGGCGGAGAATGAGCGTTTGGCCATGCATAGTTTAATTAAATTTGCAATGTTTTTTTTTTTTTTTTTGATTGAAGAAAAGTAAGCGTTACTTTTCCGATTACTTCACATGTTCAGAACGACACATTTTTCTTTCGGTATGAAAACGGGTCTTCCGTGCTGTATAAACTATACTCGTTCGATGATTTCTTAGAAGAAACTTGTAGGAACAAAATGTGCCATTAGAAAGGGGAGGGGAAAATAGGAACGATTAGGAGTAATCTTCGAAACCTCCAAAAACCATATTCGGATTACTCTCGCCATTTATTCCTGGTTAATGTAATAGAATGATTACAAAAATTATCCCCAAAAGTAATTGATTGCGCGTAATTGGATTAGTAGCGATGAGTGCCGTACAAGTACCGAAATCAACTGCGCGACCGACGTTGATGAGAGTCGGAGGTAATGATTTTGGTGCAAGTAGTGTTGGGCAGCTGATGACATATCCGTTCGCTCTACTAGCGGATGACACCGTGCGTGGAGGGGGTAAGAGAGGTACGCAACAACATTCCATGTCAGCCCATGTTGAACTTGGCACAGTGCTTCGCAGGTTATGAAGATCTTCCGGGATATCAAACGCCAAACACACCAGTGTTTATTTTTATTTTTTTTTAGATAGAAGTATATATTTATTTTGACGTTTTACTTGTTCGATCCTCATTTTGCTCGTGTTTATTTAAAATAGATTAAAACAAAAAGATCCCATCCAAAATTGTTTTCTTTAAACGTTTTTTTTTCTCTCTTTTTGCTGCAACGCGTGTATGGACTGTAAATAATAGATGTCGAATAGCAGTAAATCTCTAAAGGAAATCGAATACGGAAAACGACATTTTGGGAAGGTTTAGGTGCTCAGATGTAGGTTATTACAAAAAAAAAAAAAAAAATACAATGGCACTGACGTTTTCCGCAGGTGCGTAAAAAAGAAAAACAAACAAACATAGTACATCTTATCAAAAAAAAAAAAAAAGAAATCGGCAGCCGATACAACGATAAGACAATAAGTAGGCGCTAGCCCACCTGCTTTTTTTTTTTTCCCCCGTAACTCCCACACATCGGTTTTTCGCTTTGCCCAATGTTTCCCAAACTCCGCTCGGTGCTCTGCGACCTATCAAAAATATAAATATTGCGACCCGCGGCTTTTACGCGATGCCACACACTTTTCGACTTTAGTGCATACAGACCATTGACGCTGAAATATTATTTGACAGTTAATATAGTCATATCTAAAAGCTGGGCTAGAAACCTCCGAAACACGCACGCACACACACACGCCCGCGCGCGCACACACACACGCACACAGGAATAATTGTTTTTAATTATTAGAGTGATTTGTTTTTTGTTTTTTTTTTGACCCCCCATTTTTCTCAAAGCAAGGGCGATGTTTGGACACCGCAACTCTTCGTTTCGGTTGAAGGTCGGGCTTGAACGTGTAGGTACTTTGTTTTCGTCGGCGTCACTGCAGAGAAGCTGAGTTTGCATTTTCTCAATTTCCTGAGCCGCTTGGCGCGCGCCCCCTCTCGATCTATGGGTCGCGATTCTCATTTCGAGAAACACAGGTTTACCCGTTAATCACGCCTCTCCTTTTTTTTTTTTTTTTTTTCGGCGGTGTCGATTAGAAACCTTCCGGTCAGCACTTGTGGGTACTGTTCTGGAGTGAAAACATTTCTTTCTGTGGCATATTTCGTGCTTTTCTCTTGGATCGTAGTCGTGGACTCCAGGGCTGACAAGGTCACGTCCCTTCGGTCAAGATGGCGGCCAACGCGCGTCTCTGACGTCACGCCGCTGCGGTGGCGCTGTTGTCGGATCTGCGCATGCGCAGAAGTCAGCACTCGTGCCATGGGCTCGAGTCTGCCGGCGCGAAAACGCGGACGATAAAGCGCGCGGTGATGTTATCGTCATCATCATCCGGGTTTTCGCTCCTCCAGCCTTGCGCCTATTGCACCAGTGGTGATTTGAGTGCACCACGGCGCTTCCCAAATGCTTACAATCTTCCTAAATTTTAACCGATTTCGTGGCTTTCGATGACGGTCAGCGAGCTTCCAGTTGAATCCCTGTTTAGAATCAACAGATTTTAAGTATCCGACGTGTCCTAAC